AGCGACATTGGTAGGTAATAGAAATATTATTATTTTATCCCTTAACCTGGAAACCATATTAAATAAATTAATCTTAATATTTTTTAAAACTCAAGAATATAAACATGGCATGGTATCCTACAATAGTTCATAGAATCTCTATAGTATTTCGCTCGCTCGCTGCATAAGTTGTTACTCAAAGTTAGAGGCAAAAGATCGATGTGATGTTCTGATCATCTGTATCAATTTTTTCCACGTATAAAATGAAATAACTGTGTGACATATCTCTACTTATATCTTTTGTTTGCTTCTATTTGATAAATTTAACAAATATATTAGATTAGAACGGGATAACCTATGCAGCTGGTTACGTTTTGTATATAATTACATAAAGAGTTTATCAATCTTTGAAACTCAATACCAATAATTAAAAAAAAAAGTTATATGCTTCATGCAAAATTAACGACAGCAGAATTTTCTTAAGATATAAAATTCTTCGAAGAACAGCCGGAAAGCTTAAAGAATCAATTTTTAATTTTTTTTTTATTTTTTTTTAATTGCTATTCAATTATCATGTGTAGTCTAATGTAAAAAAATTTTATACATGATAATTTAAAAATAAATAACTTGTAGGTATTCTATAAATATAATTTAAAGGGTGGGCAAGCATTTTTAAATTTTTAAATTCTGTTTCTGTGAAGTTATTTAATATTAAAAACTCAAAAAATACGAAATTTCTTAAAAGTCATATAATTTTTGACAATTGATAATATTTATAATTATTCTGTAAAATTATGAACTTTATAATCTTATATTAGAATACATTAGTAAATGAATTTAATTTCAAAGTTTTTTTTAAAAAAAAATATAATTAAATAAATAAAAAATTGATAGACTTAACTATGCGGCACATGCAGATTCCAACTTTTGTAAATTTACAGTATTTATAATTATTTTATGAAATTCTGAACTTTATAATTTTATATTAGAATATATTGGTAAATAAACTTAATCTCAAAGTTTTTTTTAAAAAAAAGTATAATTAAATAAGTAAAAAATTGATAGACTTAGCTATGCGGCATGTGCAGATTCCAGTTTGACTACACATGATCGGTAAATTTAGCAATTAATGATTCTTTATTTATTTAATATAAAAAATCTTAATTTTTTTTTAAAAAAAAGACCTGAACATGCAGGTAAGCTTATTAGTAAATTAATGACTTGTTTATAAAGAAAACATATTGCCCTAATATATGTTCTACTACTTACTCGTCTACAATAGTGTAATATTTCTAAGTACGGCCAACGGTGAATGTTCAGTACTCCCACGAAGGCATGGTTAAAATCAAAAATCCTGGGACATCCAATTCCGAAATATAAAAAATATTAATTTACAAATTAAGTTATTTAAATTTATATAAAATGTAATGATAAATTTATACTCTATAATTAGTGTTAAAAATTTTATAAAATATAAAATTATCTTTGTATAGTAAATATATTAAATTAAATAATTTTATAAATGAGTCAAGTGTTCATGAATTTTAGAAATAATTGATAATATCATCATCTAAATAAATAAAAAAAAATATGGTTTTTGTTTTTTAACGCAGGTTTATAGATGAGGGGTGACAATATTACCTTCACGTGCAGGATTTGTAATAAAATTGAAATTCAACAGGCGTGACACAGGGTGCGCCAAAACGCAGATGCGTTAAATAAAAAAATAATCTCATTGATACTTACACGTGATTATATAAAAAAAAAGATTCCGTTAATCCTTCATGTTCTTTTTATAAATTTGGTTCATTTACAGGTTTTGGAAGATTTGAAAAATTGAGAAGTAAACTAATATAAATTGCTTGTAGATGTGCTTTATAATTAAGTTAAATAGTAGTTGTTTGATTAGTGGTTGCTTGATTTTTAGAAAGTTCTTCGGCTTCTTTGATTTGAATATTAATCTCACTATTATTTTTATTATTATTATAAGAATATATTCATTCAACTTTTCAGATAATCCATTAAAAGTGGTCGACAAGTAGGGCGGTAATCGATCATTATTTCTTAAGCAATAATTCTCTTTTGAGGATTTTTACGTTTTTCCAAATTAACCCAAATCTGAAACATATGGATTATAACTTCTGATAAAATGTTTTAGGATGAAGATCATTATGAATTATGTCTAATCTATGAAAGTTCTTTTTAAACCTCTTAGATATACTAATTTTTCATGCTAACTATCATTATTAAAATTATCATTTAAATAATTCCTAAGATTTTCCCACCTATTAGAAACTTGCAAAAATATATGATGGTATTGGAATATCTGGATCTTTTGTAACACCATCTGGTTCGGTGAATGTGTTTTCATTGCCACTTAAATAATATTTTTAAATAAATTTTATGTTTATTTAAAATATTACTTTACCTCATTTAAGAAGTCTTCATTTATATCTCCAATAGCTTCGACCTTTTTTTTAATACCACATCACGGCCATGTCTTTCCCTTCGTTGATTTTCAATACCCGATCCCCAATATATCAATCAAATAATAAATAGGGCCAAAACCATCTTTCGCTACTTCTTTAATATCTATAAATTTTTTATGAGGTATCCATTCAATACTTTATAATAATAATCTGCATTTAGTTGAGCATCTTCAATAAATTTATCGATTATATCGTTCCATTTTATCAAAACTATTTTTGAAACGCAACAAGTTGCACGATTTGCTCCATTCTCAGCTGATAGTAAATTCTCAATTGCATTCTGGGCGTTTACAATAGGACATTTCTTTATTCAATTTATGCACCGAGTTTCCATTCTCAGCTAATAGTAAATTCTTAATTGCATCTGGGTATTCAATTTATAGTAAGGTCAGATCAATGATTTTTTCATTTTAGGAAAAATTCCATATACAGAAATGAGTAACCATAATAATAAGTTACAATGATGCAATGCAATTATCCGAATTTAGATTAATTGAACCAGAGTTGGCAAGTGAACAATCATTTCAATGACCTGACCAATATAATTCGGATTATTTTTTGCTAGGTGGATGATTAATTGCAAGTTTTTTTCTCGTTTTTTTTTTAATAAGTAATTTTTTTTTATTGATAATTCTGCTTGAACTCATTTATTAGATCATAATATTAGCCGTTTAGATTATAAAAATTTAAAGTTTCGATTGTTAAATTCTAGAGTGAATTAAGACATTCCCGATTTTTATTATATCATAAAATTCACGTGCGCGGCTTATTTGTTTGACGGAATTATTAAAGTTGGTTAACAAGTTTTTATAAACCCGTTTTTGGGGGAACTGATTGAATAAGAATATATTTGTTATATTATTATTATACTTTTAATCAATTAATTAACGAATCGTAAAGGGAAGCATGCATATTATTTTTTTCCGAAATAATAAAAATGGTTTATTTCATAAAATAAATGAAAAAAAAATAAAAATACGATATTTATTTAATATAAAATAATCAAAAAAAAGCAAAAAGTAAATATAAAATAATTGCTAAAAATAAAATTTATACAATTGTTATTTGTCTGTTATTACTTCGTTGGCTTTCAATTTTTTTATTCATACAGAACAATCAAAAAAAAAAAATTCAGAATGTACTAAAACAATGTCGTTTGCTATTAAAAAAAAAATCTCCACGCAATAAATAAAGAGAAAAATAAAGATACTTATTTATATGCATGCGTGTGTCGTCAAAATTCTTAAAAAAGGAAATAAAAGAAATGTATACTCAAGAACTTATTCTGATCTAAAACTAGATACGTTGTGCTCATTTGAAAAATATAATCAAAAAAAAAAAATAAATTGATTATAAAATGTTTATAGATCAATATAAATCTATAGCTAAAGCAGTTCTCCTCCAAGCAACAACTAAATAATAATAATAATAATAATATCACAAAGCGAGAAAACAATCCAAAGTATTTTTTGATTGATAAGTTATATTATGCTTTATTAATAATAATAATTGAACCGAAACCAAGTCACGTATGAATCAAGTACAGAACATGGCATTTTAATTTCAATTCATTGAATAAATTTCTTTTGTTATTATGCTTTAACAATTGTTCTTAATCTATCCTTTAGCCATTAAACTGCGTAGTATAAAAAATGGTTTATATTTTTTGGTAATTAATGAAAGTTTTACGTAAGAGAAAAGAAAAGTCCAAGAGAGTGATCAAGAATAGACCACGAAAATGAACTGATAGATACGATTATTTATTTTAAAATGCAAATATCGCATTTATTATTATTTTTTTTTTTATAACATCAATTATACGGTTCAAAAATTGTTAAATTTTTATATATTCAACGAACTTTGATATTCTATTATTTCTGTGCACTTTGTGTGAGAAATTATTAAATAAATTTTAATTAATTAGTAAATGAAATACAAAATATTTAGTATGCCCTTCTTTGTGTACTACTTTTTCTTTGTCCTATGCCAATATTGTAATTATTATACGGAAGAGAAAGTAGCTTACCCCATCAAGATTAATATTGTGATTACTTTGTTGCCTTCATTTTTGTAAACAATGAAAAAAAGTGTTTCAATTAATATTGTATTTTCATTTTTGTTGTTTTCCATTTTCAATTTTCACTCACATTCTGGAATAATTTTGTCCCGCCAAAATTTCCACGTCAGCATCGGTTATTGGGCTGTGTAATAAACAGATAATTAGATTATGATCAAGAGGACGCCAAATTGCCAAGTATATTATGTGCATGCCAAGTATACAAAAATGAATAATATAAATTTGGTAAAACAAAGGTTCCAAATTTAGAATATCGAATGTTTATTTAAATTGTTGATTTTCTTCAAAAAAATAAAAAATAAAAACAAAAAATAAAATAAAAAATAAAAATAAAAAAATTAAAATAAAAAATAAAATATATCACAACTATAGTTTTCATGATGGCAAGAATAAACTTCAATAATTTTCTCATACTAATAACAATAATTCTACTGCAAATGACGTTAATTTATACAATGCCCATAAATATCAAAAAAGAGAACGATATTTCAAAGAATCATGAGATCAATCATATTAATGACATTGAAAATTTTATTGAAAAAAGTTTAACAAACTCGCAATCATCACATAATCCCCCTATTAAAAAATCATTAGTAAAAAGAGTTCCAAGAACTTGGGCGTTTTTCTATTATGAAAATGGGCATCAAATGTGTGGAAATTATTGTATTGTTACTTTTAGCATCTTGGGAGGAATATTATTATTGATAATATTATGTGGTATTTGTTCATGTTATAGAATTAAAAAGACTTCGGGAGTTCAACGTTCAGAAACAGGATTAAATGACATGGCACTTTCATCAATCTTTACGGAAATAAAGAAAAACAAAAAAGATAAACGTGCAAGATCTGATAGTATGTCGAATGTTATGCAGGAAAATAAAGAAAATTATTAATATCATATGAATATTAAGATAATTATAAATATTAATTATAAATAAGAATTTTGCATTTTATATTTATTTATTAATTGCATTTTATATTTATTTATTTTTTTAATAATTTCAAAATAAATTTTATTAATCTTATATGAAGTATCAAATATGAAATCCCGATGTACCGAAATTTTTGGTGCCTTCGTTTTTTTTTTTGACATCACATTATTTCGTCAGATCGACGTTTTTCTTTAAATCACTTAAAATATAAGCATATGACTAAATAATTGCATCATTTACGAATTTTAAATATTATTTAAAATTGTTTAGAATCAACTTCTCTTTTTATTTCTTTACTCAACAAAATGAACTAGAAATAAAAAAATAAAATAAATCGTTTTAGAAATAGTCAAAGGAAACCATTATAGAATATTTTTTAAATATATATATATTGAATAATTTATTTATCATAATTATAAATCGCTTTAAATTAAATAATTGTAACTTCTACTAGTTGAAATCTATTAACTCAATGATCAAAATAAGAATTGATTAATATAATAAGTTGCTAAAATTTTACTTTATTAATATATTAAAATAATTGATTATTATTATTGCTATTTCTGTTGCAATATAAATTATACAATATTGGCTAGAAAATTTCAAGGATAAGAGTGAAAAAATGAAGGCCGATAATTACAAATAATACAATGAAATCATTGATCATAAGAATTTGAAATATATACAACATTTTGAAGGAACATTGGCATAATTTGAATGACATGTAAGTTTGCCCATTCGTGAGAACACACTATATACTTATTCTCTTATATTTTAACAAATAATATATTCAAAGTATGAACTAAACACTATTTACAGTATATAATAATTCAAAAATTTTAAGAATATTTAATTACAAACTTATAGACTAATTATAGCATGCTATTTAAAAAAGTCTACTCAAATAAGTAGCCTATCACCAAATATTCTTTAATTTGAAAGCATAAAAAATAAAAGATCAACACTATAGATTAATTTCCATAAATAATTATCACATGCTGTTATTTAATGCATTCAACAAAAATCAATGAAACTAAAAATTTTAAATGACAAATGGAAAGTTAACTACTCCCACAAATAATTAGAGAAATGTAAAAAGCATTCCATACATAGTTCATTCCTCCTCTAGGATTCAAATTTTGCTCTCTATTAGTAAAGTTATAGATATAAGAAATTAAAATTATATTCTTGTTTCTCAAAAAGTATACAAAGATACTTATTTTATTATTATTATTAAAATATAAAAAATTCCAATGGCAACAATATTACTTAAGAAGGAAATATATTTATAGTTAATTTACAATTTTAAAGCATTTTTGATTTATCATAATTCATTAGCTATTATTATTAGACTAAATTAGTAAAATGCATATAGAATGACTATATTAGTTAAGGAAAGGAAGTCAGAAAAGATCTTCTCATTCCTGTTCACATACTTGATTTATATATTTAAAGACTAAAATAACCTGTGATGCAGACCATTTAAAATTTAAAATTTTTAAAAATTTTTCCATGAACTAAACTGGCAATTTTTTTTTTAAAAAAAGAAGAAAACTTGGCTAAAATAGGTCTGACCATAATAATTATAGTGAATGAAATAGATAACAGCATAGCATGATAAACTTATCAGTAAACAAAAGAAGGTTTGATAATTATATGCAAGCAAGTTTGAATGAGTGATATGATAGAGATATCTTTAACAAACTAATTCAAGTGTTTAGAACTAATATATATATATTAAAGATGTTATTAACAAAAAATTTTTAATTTGTGATAAACATATAAGTTATCTTCAAATTTGGTTATTTAATTGTACTTTATATTCTTGAAAACTAATTATAGAATTTCTTCTACCATAATTTCATTAATTTTATTTTAATATTAAGTATATCAAGTATAGAATTTTTTAATTTTTTTTATATTTAAAAAAAGAGATTTCAATTCTGCATGGTCTGTGAAAGGTGAGAAATGAATTTATTTGACTTTCTCTCTCTCTCTTAATCAATATAATGTATGAACACATCATTATTGAAAAACATAATTAAAGGGAATATATATTTTAATTCAGTTTACAAAAAAGAAGAAAAATTTGACAAGAAAATTAAAAAGAAAAAAATAAATACTTATATAGTAATGTTTTTATTTGGTATTAAAGTGTTGAAAGAATATTAGCATGAATACCAAAAATGGAATAAGAGAAAATTCATCAAATAATGTTTTGATAGATTTTGAAAACTGCACAATAGTAAATATCTTATCTGTGGAATTTATTTTTTGTATATTGTACCTAATAAGATTTTCTCACTTTTATTATCAAAGATGTAAACTAAAGTCAATTCTTCATTACCAAGTTTATAAGTGTGAGATTATTTTTTGTTTTTGAGAGCTTTATAAATAAGAAGGGATAATCAGAATTAAGTATAAAATAAAATAAAGTATGATAGAACATATATAACTATAGAATTAGATTTATTCAATTTGAGTCACTTAACTTTTCATCACAATCCACTCCACTATACTACTATAGGATTCAAATTCTGATCTGATCCTACAGTTAAGTTACTTAAATATTTTGAATTTTTTCCAGCAGAAAGGTGGTCTCACTCTTTAATTATTGATAATTATTAAACCATTGAAAAATGAAAAGCTCATGTTCACTTTTTCAATGCCTTGTATTAAAATAAAGAATAATATAAAAGTAATCAATTTTCATATAATACACATCAGTGTAAATATTTAAAAAACTGGGTTGAAGAGGAAATGTTAGATAAAGTATACAATTTTGAAACATTGTTTCATACATTTATGCTATCTACACTCATATTTAATATTAGTAAAAAATGAAATATTAAAAACAATATCAAAAGCACATATACTTATATCTCAAATGGATTTACCAATAGATAACATAGAATAGGTATAAAATTAATAATAAAATTTTTATAAATTTTTATTATTCAAATTAGTTTTCAAACTTTTTGTTTCCAGATTTATATTCTTGTACTAATTTAAGCTTCGTAATAGAAGGAGACCAAATCCCAGGCTGTGTCTAACCACCTCCTGGAATATCTATGTGACTTAAAAAGCAAAGATTACTTTTTCTAATATATGTTCCATACTAAGGATAATAATAAATCTCTGAATGTTTATAAATTTTACTAAAACAAAAACCAAATGAAACAAGAGTATATAATGCCAGAGAATATAATATTGTTTACATTTATAAGTATTCACAAAGAAAGTGTGGTGCATTGAATTTCAAAACTCACATTAATTTGAATATCTTTTAATTTAACTTTCCCAAAATCATCTAAAATAGGCAGAAAGACAATGTGTATATAATATTATTTAAAATTTAACCTATAAATTAAACAGAAAAAAAAATATATAAGATATAAAATAACTATGAACTAAAAGACCTATCTATTACTCTGGATAACTATATCATATATAAAGAAACAAATAATAAGGAATGCTGATTTAAACATGAAATCTACATAAGAATTCTACTATTAACTATATCATATTTAAATTTCAAGTTTCCACATAAGATACTTCACCTTCACATTATTCCCAAATTTAGAATATGCACTTTCCAAAAAATTTAGTGTAATTTATATAAAAATATGCTCAACTCATAATACATGTGGTTAGAATGAAATCACAATAATAATTTCTACATCTGAAAAAATTATCTAAACATGGGTAAATATATAGGTATAAGTGCCTTTTTTTCACCTAATTACTCAGAATAAAAACCATACAAATACATAATGGAAAAAAAAGTTAGAATTAAATACAACATACATTTTAAATCAATAAATCATGAGATTATTATTCTGATCTAATTAAATTGATGAAGTACTTGTCTGACAATATATCCAAAATATGCTTAAAGATATCTCCCAAAACAGAATGACAAGACAAAGCATTTTATTAATCAAGAAAGCATATGCATTTATTTCTATTTCTTTATCTCATAATAATATAATAAAGGATTTGTTATTGATAAATAATTTCTAAAAGACAGGAAATTATACATGATTTATTAATTAATTATCATTCATAATAATAACGAGAATAAATAGAAAACATAGCATTAAAATTATATAATCAATAAATAAATATCATCTGTCAATATTCTAAATATTTATTTATAAAGAAGGCAAGTCAATGATTTGAAGACATCACAACATAGCAGGAACACAGAAAATTTAAAGTGTAATTTTTTCAGGAAAAATTCAATTCAAACTTGATTGAATTTATTGATGTTTGCCTTTATTCAATTTTACAAGGCAATTTACACACCTGCTCTTTTATTATCTTTGAATATAATAAGAAAATTTATTTTTATATGCTAAATGGTAAAAAGTTTAGAATGATAACAATACACTGTATAGTTGAGATCTTACCAAATTAATGATTTATTTTCAGTTTCTATTGAAAGAAACACTTTAATAAAAACATAATATCCATTATTTAATGAAATGATCTTTTCATTTTTATATCCTAGCACTGCATATTGCAACATGCAAACAAACAAATTAAATTGAATAATTATTTTGTAATTTATATATTGAAAAAAAAGGACTTATGGTTTTTGAAATTCTTTATAATACATTAACATGTGGTCACATATTGATAAAGCCTAAGCCTACATATGGCAGGAAATTGTTAGGTAGATTTTTAAATTTTAAATTATTATGAAATAAGCACTTATAATTTAATTTCATATTTTCACTTGACATGTTTTTAGTTCTTATAGAATAGAGGTTTTATGATAAAATATATGTTTCATAATTTAGTTATTTAGAACATATAAGGTGATGTTTTTAATTATATAGGTTAATATAATTTAAACATGCAATTGTTGAAATAGATTAAATCAATGATAACATTAATTTTTTTAAAAAATAAAAAAAAAGCATCTACTAAAATATGGAAATACAAACTTATATTCAATTATAAAATTAGAAGAATAAAAAAACAGTTAATTTAATAAGATAGCAATAACTATAATGATATACTTTTAGTGGATTTGTATGATTAAAATTTTTAATGATCTTTCTGATTCAATTTTTAGAGCAAAATAATATGATTTTTTATAGAAGAAAACCAGGTGATGAAGGGATCAATATTCTTATTTCTCTTAAAAATGCATAATGATATGATACTTATATTAAAATCAACAAACTTCTGGTAACAACATTATTAATTACTTAAGAATTAAGAAAAAATGTTTATAGTATAGTTAACAATATTTGAAGATTCAATTATCTATTATTAGATCAAATGCATATAGAAAAATCACATTAGCAAAGGAAAGAAAAAGCTTGATAATTATATGCAGGCATGAAAATTTTGAAAGAATAAGTGGCATGACAGAGAAATCTTTAATAAAAAAATTCAAAGCTTTTGGAACTAATATATATATTAAAATTAACATCAAAAAAATTTAAATTTGCAATAAATAATTAATTTTCAATGAATGTTATAAAGGTGTTGCTGAAACATAAATGACAATTGAATCAACACAAATTTTCTGTTCTGTGCATTGTTTAGCTTTATAATATAACTTAAAAAATTGATGAATAACAAAATTTAAATCATATCTTGATCATATATATAGAACTTCTTCTAAAGTGATTATATTTTGTTAATTAGGTATAGATCTTTTCTAATTTTTTTTTAATTATCAAAATTTGAAAAAATCTATAATCAATTTGAGCCATACTAACAATTGATACTGAAAAAAATCAATAAATTTGACTTTAATAAATATGGAAAAATGGAGATTAAAGTTGATATACAGATATTTTAATTTTTGGGCCACAAAACAAAAACAAATTAAAAATTTGGACAAGGGAATTATAAAGAATGGATACTTAGATAGTATGTCTTCATTTAGTTTCAAAGAGGATCTAAACAAATATTTACATAGGCAAAAATAGGATAAAAAAATTCTTAAGATAATGTGATCCTGACAGAGCACAATTCTCATGTCTGATACCTGTATTAGAAGTAGTATATAATGTTACAGTAAGTTAAGTGATGGATAATTATTTCTATTTACTTTTTAAACTTTATAATTTTAAAGATGACTCAAGTAAAAATAAAATAAAATTTTGAGAGAACATATAACTTTAGAATTAGATATATTCAGAGTTGCTTACCTTTTTTACCATAAGCCCTATACTGTTATAGGATTCAAATTCTGATCCTACAGTTAGCACTGTTTCACACATGTATACTATCTAATGGAGATTGCTTATTCTACATTAATAATTAATATAATATTTGTTATTTTTACTAAAGTAAGCAGGAAAAAATATATTCATACTGTAATTATTATTATTTAGAAAATTAACCTATAAATTGAAATTCATTAAAATTAATAAATTACATTTGCATTTGGCAAATACAAAAAAATATAAAGAAATTAAATAATGTATCTTTAAGTTAAATGATAAATATAATAATAATTAAAAATAGATATGAACATCTGAAGATATCTTAGAGCTCTAGATAGTATTTAATTACATTTATAGTAATTATTTAACAACATTTGATATTGAGAAATAAATAATATAATAAGGAAAATATAAAATTAATAAGAATGAACAGAATGCTCTATATGTATATATGTTTTAATAGTCTGAATATTTGGAATGTAAATCTCACTGGCATTCGAAAAATGAAAAGTTCAAGACAAAAAATCTTTTGGTCAAAAATGAAAATTTCTAAAATACTTAGTCTTTAAAAATATATTGCATAGTTTATATGAAACAAATAGATTCAATTTGGTAAATTTTTTAAAATCCAAAATAAAGCAATAATGTATTGAGCAAGAAAAAAATCACAGGATTATTTTCTACATTGGGAAAAATTATCCAAAATCTGGATAGATATATAGATTTGTCTTTGCAGTTGATCAGTATTGAGTAAAATGAAATTTGATTGTAATCTCCTAAATATTATAGTTAAGAAATCTATATGAAATCATGATAAATCATTGGAAAAACATAATTTGTTTTGTCAAAGTAAAAGTAAACATCAGTTATAATTAAGTATCAAAGACAAAATAGTACCTATCAAATACATTTTTGATGATAAATCATATGATATATTAATATAATCAAATAATTAATTAGATACTAACAAGACAAAAATAATTTTTTTAAAAAAAATATTTCAGAAATTTAAAGTCAAAAATATTGTAGTGATATATTTTAACTTTTATTTGAATGTAAATTTTCTTTTTTACAAATAGAAAAATATTATGAATTATTCAAAAATTGTATGAAATTCTTTAAAACAATTAGGTCTACCCTTATTACAACAAAATGCAATGTTGTGACTATTACAACATATTTGAGATTTAGAATCATTTTTTATATCAAAAACCTATACCACAAACACCCTTCTCTTTTATTTCTGTATATAGAATAGTGATTTATTTCCAATAAATCTAGATGATACAGTTCAAAATTAAATGTTATCCAAAATTTTTTACTATCTTTTTTATTTTTTATCTTTTGCACATTATTCATCTTGCTCTTTACTTCAAGTTGTCCTCTTTGATGAATCCTTTACTGCATCTTTAATCAATTCTTGCATCAATTCTAACCTAAATATATTATGTTCATTAATGATATTTGACACTAGTCAAATACAAAAGAATCACTGTATCAAATGGTAATTCCTAAACTATAACTATAAATAAGCTAAAAATCAGTAACAATCAACTGTCCTATTGCATCCTATATCATAAACTAGCAAAAACAGAATTCCTTACCAGTACGAGAAATCTTTTGTATTGACCTGTGTAATTTTCGCAAATTAAAAAAGAATTGACAATAGTTGTATCAGCAACCAAAAAAATAAAGGCATCCATGTTCTAAATACATTAATTGTGTT